AAAAAATACTGGGAACATGGAAATGTCCATAACCAGCAACTGTTTAAATAAACTAAGATACATCTATACTAAGACATACTATGCAGCCTCTAAAAGTCCTCAGGTTGTTAAAATAAGTTACATGAAAGAAGTGTAGAAAATATAGTATGCTTCCATTCAGGTTTTAAAAAACAATAAGGGGAGGCCAGGTGCAGTAGCTCATGCCAGAACTGTGGGAAGCCAAGGTAGGAGGCCAGGAGTTTGAGACCAGTCTAGGCAACACAGTGAGACCCCCGTCTCTACAAAAAATAAAACAATAAGGGAAAAGATATTGACACATTTTAGAAATACAATTTGGAAAAGAAAACACAACAAACTGCTAAGATATTTGTCTCTGTGGAGGGAGTAGAGGCACTAGGGGAGTTAAGATGGGAAGGTGTTGCTTTTCTTTATGATTCTACAAAATTTATAGGTACTTTTAATTTTAAAAACAGTTAATGAGGCCAGGCATGATGGCTCACACCTGTAATCCCAGCACTTTGGGAGGCTGAGGTGGCTGGATCAACTGAGGTCCGGAGTTTGAGACCAGCCTGGCCAACATGGTGAAACCCTGTCTCTACTAAAAATACAAAAATTAGCTGGATGTGGTGGCGGGTGCCTGTAATCCCAGCTACTCGGGAGGCTGAGGCACGAGAATCACTTGAAGCCAAGAGGCAGAGGTTACAATGAGCCTAGATTGTGCCACTGCACTCCAGCCTGGGCAACAGGGCCAGAATCTGTCTCAAAAAAGGAAAAAATACTAGCTAATGAAATATGCAAATAAAACCATTGTTTAAACTTCCATTCCTAACCGGGTGTGGTGGCTCATGCCTTTAATCCCAGCACTTTGGAAAACCAAGGCAGGAGGATCACAGGCAACAAAGCGAGACCCCAACCCTACCAAAAAAAAAAAAAAAAAATTAGCCAGGCATGGTGGCACATGCCTGTGGTCCCAGCTACTCAAGAGGCTGAGGCAGGAGGATCACTTGAGCCCAGAAGGTCAAGCCAGCAGTGAGCTATGATCATGTCATGGCACTCCAGCCAGGGTGGAGTGAGACCTGTTTCAAAAAAAAAATTTTTTTTTTTTTTTTTTTTTGAGAGGGAGTCTTGCTCTGTCACCCAGGTTGGAGTGCAGTGGCACAATCTCAGCTCACTGCAACCTCCGCCTCCCAGGTTCAAGCGATTCTCCTGACTCAGCCTCACAAGTAGCTGGGATTACAGGTACCCACCACCACACCCAGCTAATTTTAGTATTTTTAATAGAGTTGGGGTTTCACTATGTTGGCCAGGCTGGTCTCAAACTCCTGATCTCAGGTGATCCACCTGCCTTGGCCTCCCAAAGTGCTGGGATTACAGGCGTGAGACACTACGCCCGACCTAAAAAATTTTTTTATTAAAAAAATTAACTATTTCTGAAATTCACTACTGAGATGAAGAAAGTCACAAGGGAATATACCTCCCACTCTAGCAAACAGCAACAAAAGGCCAGATTAGCTAGAAAATAAAAAATATGTTTAACTCCTCAGAAAACTAAGGACAGAAAGAAATCTAAGTTGGGTGCAGTGGTTTATGCCTGTAACCCCTGGACTTGGGGCACCGAGGCAGGCAGATCGCTTGAGCTCAGAAGTTGGCGATCAGCCTGGGCAACATGGCAAAACCCTGTCTCGACAAAAAATACAAAAATTAGCCGAGTGTGGTGGTACACGCCTGTAGTCCCAGCTGCTCAGGAGGCTGAGGTGGGAGGATCCATTGAGCCAGGCAGGCAGAGGTTGTAGTGAGCTGAGATCACTACAGGCTGTACTCCAAGCTGGGTAAGAGTGAGACCGTGTCTCAGAACAAAAACAAAAACCAAAGAAACCTAAATGATCCAAACTCCAGAAAGTGCCAACTCCTTCATAGGAGAGAACAGACCCCCTAGCTGTTGTTCTTCCTAGTTCAACTACGGTAGGAAGAGGAATACTATAGGGGGAGAAAAGAGAAACATGTTGAAATTTAACAAAATTTTCACAACCCCTTGGAGGCTGGTTTGCCATTAGAACCTAGAGGACCCAAATCCACAGAGGAAGGCTTCCCACCAATCTTACCCCTTAGATGATAACCAGGTACAGGAGGGTGTAGTACACTAAAATTGTGGATAACAGAAGGAAAGCTGTGAGAGCTTGACTTCTCCCAAGGGCAAAATACCCTTTAAAGATGAAAGGGGAGGCAGGATGGTTGTGAAATCCAACAGAGGCACTCTTGGAGGCTAACTGGGGTCAGAAATGCTAAGAAACCCATCCCTAGGCATTGTGGACATTCCTCTACAAAAGGGCAGGGCACGCGTGAGAGCTGAGAAAAATATCCTCCTGTCCCCAGCTCATTGATAAAAAAAAGTCCTGGCAGCAAGGTTGTAAAGCAGGGAAAGATCTCCCACCTTGATAAAAGCTGGTGGCTTAGCTATGAAGCAAAGTAAGATCTCTGGAATCTTGCCAATGCCCAAAACTCAGATCCTGGTGATATGAGAGTTCTGATTCTACCTTCATTCAAAATATTTGAAGCTAGAGGTAAACTGAATCAAACTAAACTAAAACTGCAATGAAGCCCCAATCGAGAATTCATATACATCACATTGAGCCACCATTCAAGTGGCCTGAAAAAAAATACAAAGGGCATGCCCTGTTTTGGAAGTAAATATTTGCTTCAATTTCTCTTTTTTTTTTTCACCATAAAACGTCCATCATCCAATCAAATATACAAGTCGTGTAAAAGCAAGAAAATAAGATTCACGGTAAGGGAGAGAAAGGGCCCAACAGAAGCAGAACTAGAAAAGACCCAGATGTTGAATTATTAGTTTGGATCTTTAAAATAACTGATACAAGGAAAAAAAACCAATAAAATAACTGATTAAAATGCTAAAAAGTAGAGTGGAAAATGTGGAAAACATGCATGAAGAAATAGGAAATTTCAGCAGAAAATGGTAATTATACAAATATAATGAAATGCTAGAAATAAAAATATTAGAAAAAAATTAAAAATAATTCAGTGCAACTATGTATTCATCAATAACTAAAACCAAAAAAATTTTAAATGGAGAATTCAATTAACAAGTTTAACAGGTTAACATTGGAAAGCATCAAAAAACTTAAAGATGGTTAAATGGAAAGTATCCAAACTGAAAACAAAAAGAAAACAGGGCAGGGGAAAAATTATCTGAGATCTGTAGGTTTATATCAAATCATCTAATATACATGTAACTAGAATCTCCAAAGAGGAGAAGCAAGAAAGTATGAGACGAGAGAAAAATGTAAACAGATAATGGCCAAGAAAGAACCAGTATTAATGAAAGACATCAACACAGATCCAAGAAGTTCAGTAAACTCTATACAAAGAAAAACATACCTAGACATATCCTAGTCAATCTGCTGAAAAGTAAATATAATGCACAGATGCAGCCATTGAGAACAACCACACATTATGGAAAGGGAAATAAAAATTAAAATGATGAATGACTTCTCACCAGAAACAAATGAGGCCTGAGTACAATAAAATAACTTCTTTAAAGTACTGAAAGAATAAATAAAAGGTCAACATAGAATCCTATATCCAACTAAAATACCCCTTAGAAATAAAAGGAAGGACATTGTCTAATAGACAAAAGCTGAGAGAACTCATCTCTAATAAAAACTGCAACAGGGCCAGGCACAATGGCTCACACCTGTAATCCCAGCACTTTGGGAGGCCAAGGTGGGCAGATCACCTGAGGTCAGGAGTTCAAGACCAGCCTGGCCAATATGGTGAAACCCTGTTTCTACTAAATATATAAAAGTTAGCTGGGCTTGGTGACATGTGCCTATAATCCCACCTACTTGGGAGGCTGAGGCAAGAGAATCGCTTAAACTTGGGAGGCAGAGGTTGCAGATCGCACCACTGCACCCTAGCCTGGGCGACAGAGCAAGACTCAGTCTCAAAAAAACAAAAACAAAGACAAAAAACCAGAAAAAACAAAAAACACTGCAATAGGCTGGGCACTGTGTCTCATGCCTGTAATGCCAACACTTTGGGAGGGCAAGGCAGGAGGATCAAATGTTTCGGCCGGGCGTGGTGGCAGGCGCCTGTATTCTCAGCTAATCGGGAGACGGAGGTTGCAGTGAGCCCAGATAGCGCCATTGCACTCCAGCCTGGGACCACAACAGCGACACTCCGTCTCAAAAAAAAAAAAAAAGTTTGTCTTCAGAGTTTTCTAATTAGACTAGAATAATATGACAACTCTGCAAATGAGAGTAGAAAACAAACAAAAGGCCCTCTAGCAATAACACTAACCTTGCTGCTTAGCCAAAACTAAGTTGTAAAACAGTCAAAGGCTGCTATCGTACTGTTTTCCAAGGCGTTTTTCGAAAGACAATAAATTCCGAATACCTAAAATCATTCTAACAAATGCACAGAACAGGCTTTCAAACCCAACACTAAAGCAAGGTAAACAAATCCTCATACTTGGCACTTCACCGAAATTAGATCCAATTATGGATATATGCCTCAAAAAAACAGCGACTAGCTCATCCTGAATTCATCGGGTTCCTCTCTATTAGCAGTTCTGTGGAGTTAACGCCCAACTCAACCTTCAGCTGAATTCCAAAACCGTACTTTCCTAAACTTAATCACCACAGAAAAAACATAGCCCTGCTCCACTGGCAGGAGGCAGTGACGCTGCAAGCTTCCAGGCTGTCGTTCATGTTAAATTCCCAATTCACGGGATTAACAGAAACTGTCTACACAACTGCTAGTTATTACCTTCCAAACCCCCGAAAGAAAAAAAAAGATGGGACTAGGGTAAGAGCCATTACAGGTGAGAAGTCTCCCTTCTCCGTCCAGGGCACCCCAAGAGGGACCACAGTCCTAGAACAGGACCTGTGCTGCTAAGTATCCAGACTTGCCCCAGGCGACCAGTTCCCGGGACAGTAGGAAGGGAACCGTGTCGTCCCGCCCACCTTGAGCCGCTCGGCACCCCGCTCCGCCTCTCTCCAGGAACCGCTGCATGGGACAGAGGCCACCCGCCAGCCTGCCTTGCCCTGGCCGGGCAACTAAAGAGAATCTCGGCGCTCACCATCGCAACTCTCTCCTCAGCCATCTTGGCTCAGCCCACCACTGCGCGACCGGAAGTCGGCGGTTTCCCAGACAAGGAGGCAAGCGGAAGTTGTAGGACTGTGGAGGACGCTGAGGAGCCGGGGAAGGAAGTAAATAGCCGAGTGACCTAAGGAATCGGGGGAGAGTTAGGGTCTGCTCCACAGAAGGCTTACCTCTGAAAGAGTAGGGGAGGGAATGCGCAGGCACTCGCTGCCTTTATCCCGAGAAGCCCCTAACCCCTCTCGTCGTGGTCTGTACATGGTGTGTACCTCCGGCCGCGCTGGCTGGATAGGCCAGCCACCTGGGATGTCAGCCTGTTTCTCCCGCCACCTGGCCGTGCCCTGACTCTAATCTGCATTTAATTCAGTCCTCCTTCCGGGACCCTCGGGCGGAGAATCTCATTCTTGCCTTTGGTACGAAACTCCCCGTTTCTTGGCTATCCCTATGGAATTGAGGTACTCACCTTATCAGCTTCCCACTCTTGTTTACTCCAGAATTTGCAAACACGCTCCCGGTGGGCTCCGTTTGAGCAGCAGTCTTTTGATCGGAAATATTTAAAAGTTAGGAGATTTCGCAAGAAATCGGCCATGGGATAAAGAGACGACAGTCGGCCTGCGTTTCTGCAAGACAGTGAAATCGATCTGAATGGCGGCTGCGACTGTAAATAAACATTTCTTGGCCTTTTTACCACAGTCTTCCCTTCCTAGCATACTTCAGGCGTTTTCCAGTGCCTGTCTGGCCCCAGGTGCGGTGAATTAAATGTTTAGTGTTTCTAAACCAGGGAAACGTGTGGGCTTTGGAATCAAACATGAGTTCTGGATTTGATTACTGCATGACCTAAGCCCGTCGTTTCTTTGAGCCTCATTTATTAAAGTGCCGGGAGCTGTGTGATGAACAAAACAGAGGATCGCTGCACCTGAGCACTGACTTTAGTCCCAATTCATACTTTTAAGTCTCGCTCTTGTAATGTAGACATAAAATCTGCGTCTCCCAATTCGTGAATTGGGACAGCATTTAAGACAAGTTTCTCCAGGCCTTTAAGAGAAGGAGAGCCCCACTGACTAATAATTACAGTTACGTAGTGAAACAAGTACGGTAATCTATCCAAACACAAGGGGAAAAGACAGCAATAAAATGACAGTTCTTCTAAGTATTTCAGTAACATTCTCTTAATCTTTATAACAATCCCATGAGACTCTTAGTCTCCCACTTTTTTCATATAAATACTCTGCTTTTCATTTATTTAAAAAATTTTTTTTGCAGTTTGGCCAGCATGGCGAAACCCTGTCTCTACTAAAAATACAAAAAATTAGTCGGGCATGGTAGTGGGCACCTGTAATCGCAGCTACTCGGGAGGAGGCTGAGTCAGGAGAATCACTTGAACCCAGGAGGCAGAGGTTGCAGTGAGCCGAGATCGCACTACAGCTCTCCAACCTGAGCTATAGAAGGAGACTACGTCTAAAAAAAAAAAAAAAAAAAAAAAATTGCTGGGCTCAGTGGCTCACGCCTGTAATGCCAGGACTTTGTGAGGCTGAGGTGAGCACATCACCTGAGGTCAGGAGTTCGAGACCAGCCTGGCCAACATGGTGTAACCCCGTCTGTACTAAAAATACAAAAACTTAGACGCGCGTGGTGGCTGGCTCCTGTAATCCCAGCTACTCGGGAGGCTGAGGCAGGAGAAGTGCTTGAATCCAAGAGGCAGAGGTTGCAGTGAGCCGAGATCGTGCCATTGTACTCCAGCCTGGGCAACAAGAGAAAAACTCTGTCTCAAAAAATTTTTTTCAGAGACAGAGGTCTCACTATGATGTCCAGACTGGACTTGAACTCCTAGGCTCAAGCAATCCTCCTGAGGCAGGAAAATAGGGTCTGGAGGCAGGGAACATAAGGCTGATTCACACTGCAGCTGTAACAGGAAATATTCTGTCCATAGGGCATAGGTCGTAAATGTCTTTGTAACTTTACTTCATCTTCTCCATTTACATAAGGCATACCCGAAGTAACCATGGAATCCTCTGGGGGTATTTAAACTCCCCAAAATTCTGTGACAGAGCCCTTGAACTTCTAAGCTCAGGCCCACTGCCACACTGCGGAGTGTACTTTCATGTTTAATAAATTCCTTTGTCCCTTCCTTGCTTTGTGCATTTTCTCCAATTCTTTTGTCAAGACACCAATAATCTGGACACTCTCCACCTTTAACACTTCCACCTCATCCTCTCAAGGAGCTAGGATTACAGGCACCAGTCACCATGCCTGCTGCTAAATTCTCCACTTTTCAGAGATTAAACACCTTGCCTAAGTGAGCCGAGATCTTGCCACTGCACTCCAGCCTGGGAGACAGAGCAAGACTCCGTCTCTAAATAAATAAATAAATAAATATTCATTTCTAATCCCCAGTGCTTAGTTTTTTTGTTTTTGGGACAGGATCTTGCTCTGTTGCCCAAGTTCAGTGGGACAATCACAGCTCACTGCAGTCTCCACCTCCCAGGCTCAAGTGATCCTCCCACCTCAGCCTCCCAAGTAGCTGGGACTACAACTTCATGCCACCACACCCAGCTAATTTTTGTATCTTTTGTACAGATAGGGTTTCATCTTGTTACCTAGGCTAGTCTCAAGCTCCTAAGCTCAAGCAATCCAGCCACCTTGGCCTCCCAAAGTGCTGGAATTACAGGCGTGAGCCACCCTGCCCAACCCACAGTGCTTAGTTTCATGCAGTTTTTCAGTATTGCAGTCCTCTTCATGGGTGGGGTTACTATGCAACACTGACAGTCTAGGAAGAAATCATTCCCAAGGAATCAAAAAAATGAAATAAAAAGAGGAATTGAATCTAATGTCTTCTACCCTATTCTTTTTATCTTCTACCCTATTCTTTTTACACAGTCTTTTTGCCACTTTCAAAAGACTGATTCTCAATCTGACATGTCACTCCCTGTTCTCTTCAGTTACCCGTTAGTTCTACCAATTTGGGGAATTCCCAGCACTCCTCTACAGAGAATACACAACATCTAGAACAAAATTTTCCAAAGGCCTCTTCACTAAAGTGTAAGAAACTACTTTCACCTTTTCCTTCAAAGATGCAACCATTTAATTCAGGGCCTAAATATCCAAGGTCCCTTTAACCAGCAGATCCAAAACCATTCTAGAGAAACTCCTCTATTATTTCCACAAAACGAGAACTAGAAAGTAGAAGCCATTATGTCTCTTTTTTCAGAGCAAAGAACTACAGACTCAGGCCTAGTCCATTTGCATGACTGTCTGGGGGTTCCTGCTGCAGTCAGGAGGACCAGGGGGCAGTTTAGTCATCGATGAATAGCAAATAGACTGCAGCATTCTCCTTATAAAGGATTTACCTCTCAATTCCAAACCTTTCCTCAAGGGATTCACTGAAAAGCCAGTAAACGGTGAAACTTAAGTGGAGAATGGATTACAAAGGCTAACTGGTATCTGTAGATGGCTATATGAACATGTAACTTGCAAATACAGAAGAATACATAATACATGTTGTCTAGACATCTGGATGAAGTTTCCATTTTGTTTCATTTTATCTCATTTTGAGACAGAGTCTGGCTCTATCACCCAGGCTGGAGTGCAGTGGTGCGATCTCGGCTCACTGCAACCTCCGGGTTTAAGTGATTCTCATACCTCGGCCTCCAGAGTAGCTGGGATTACAAGTGCCAGCCGCCATGCCTGGCTAATTGTTCTGTCTTTAGTAGAGACAGGATTTCACCATGTTGGCCAGGTTGGTCTCAAACTCCTGACCTCAAGTGATCTGCCTGCCTTGGCCTCCCAAAATGCCAGGATTATAGACGTGAGCCACCATGCCCAGTGTGGATGAAGTTTTAATAAGACATAATAATGTCCTTTATATCAGAGGTGTGGAAGAAGAGGAAGAGGATAGGGAAATGAGAGAAGAGCATCTTTCCTGGGGGATTTTTAAAATATATATTTCTACACAATAAAGATTTGTTTTTCAAATAAATTACTTTATAGCACCCTTATATACTGTCAGTTCAATAAGTTGTTAACATCTTTTGGAAGGCATCTGGCATTATAAATCCTTAAAAATGTGCATACCCTTTGATCAGTTCTATTTCTGAAATTATATGCTAAGGAAGCAATCAAGAAAACAAAGATTTATAAAAAGAGTATTTACTACACATTTATTTTGGATAATTAAAAATAATACTTTAAAACTGGAAAAAAAAGCTGGGCCCAGTGACTCGCGTCTATAATCCCAAGGCCCAGTGACTTACGTCTATAATCAAGGTGGCGCCACTACACTCCTGCCTGGGCAACAGAGGGAAACTCTGTCTCAATAATAATAATAATTAATAATAATAACAATTTTAAAGGAGGCCAAGCGCGGTGGCTCATCCCTGTAATCCCAGCACTTTAGGAGGCCGAGGCAGATGGATGGATCTCTTGAGGTCCAGAGTTTGAGACCAGCCTGGCCAACATAGCAAAACCTCATCTCTACTAAAAATACAAAAATTGGCCAGGCGCGGTGGCAGGTGCCTGTAATCCCAGCTACTCAGGAGACTGAGGCAGGAGACTCACTTGAACCCGGGAGGTGGAGGTTGCAGCGAGACGAGATTGTGCCACTGCACTCTAGCCTGGGTGACAGAGCAAGACTCTGTCTCAAAAAGAAAAAAAAAACCATTTTGGTTCAATGTAACACAGGAAAACAAGATTTTCTATTCACTGGGGAGAATGTTTTACTTGGAGAAAAAAGTTCACATTTGTTTAGCTTATATGCTCCCTCTGGATAATAAGGAGTCACTGAGGGTTTTTAGGAAAGGAACAAATATCATAAAACCTAAGTTTTAATTATGTTTAGCTGTGCGGTCATCTTGTGGGATCTAATACTCACTGAAGAAAGCAAGATGTGGCCACCTCCATGGATCCTACCATGCCTACAAGAGAGTTCTGACTCTAAGCCTCCAAAGGAGGAAGACCAATACTGGATTTTCTGGAAAAGCAGCCTCTTATTTATTCTCCTGAGCTATAGAATTTATAAGCAGCCATATACTGGAAATTATACCTGAAGGCCAGTCACAGGGAAGAAGAGCTAAGAAGTCTACACTTCTGCTTGGAGGGTACAGGGCCACTGAGACTACTGGTCCACACTCCCTGGCAACTTCTCCTTTTCAGAAGAATGCTGTCTGTGTGGTTTAGGTGTATCTCCCCCTGAGCATCAACAGCAGAAGCTAAGTACTATCAAAGTCACATAAACAAGGCAGTAACAAGTGAACCAGACAGGCACCCCCACCTCAGACAGTCCCTTAGCTATTCCCATCCTGTCAGTCCACAGTGTGACTCAAGTTGTACATCGCTGTCTCTCACTATCTCAGGTCTCAGTCCTCAATATAGCACTTTTTTTTTTTTTGAGACAGAGTTTCACTCTGTCATCCAGGCTGGAGTGCACGATCTCACTGCAGCCTCCACCACCTGAGTTCAAGTGAGTCTCGTGCCTCAGGCTCACCTTCCTGAGTAGCTGGAATTACAGGCACCCGCAACCACACCCAGCTAAGTTTTCGTATTTTTAGTAGAGATGGGTTTTCACCATGTTTGCCTGCCTGATCTTGAACTCCTGAGCTCAGGTGATCTGCCCGCCTCAGCCTACCCTTCCTGCTGGAATTACAGGCGTGAGCCACCGTGCCCAGCCCTGCATCTTTATATCTTGTGTGCATCCGGGTATCTCCTTTTTTTTTGACCTCATTTGTCATAGTGCACATCAGATTATATTTATTGATTGGTAAATACATAGATGAATTAGTACATGAAAAAATAAATGATGATACATACACAGATATTAGATTGAATGAAAAGTTATGAAAGATAAATTTTTTTAATGTTCAGTTTATTCATGATCTCATTTTTCCTTCGAGTTTTAATAGCAGAACTTTTCTAAGAGGCATATATGTATGCTGATGTGTGATATGTGTAGGATATCTGTTGAGATGAGAAGTCAGAATAATTTTCAATCCATAAAGCTTACTGTAGATAAGAACTTAAGTGTGTTATTTTTAAAGGTAAGTCAGCTTCTAACTTCTTTGTTTAACCATTTCTAACTTCTTTATTTTGTTTCACCACGTTTCCTCTAGCTACTGAGGTCAAACCTGAATTAGGCTGTAGACTCCCCCGGCTGGGTAAGAATGGGAAGAAGAGCAGAAAACCTAAACTTTGGTTGATGGACTATTTTGCCCAGGCAAAAGCAGGGAATCTATGAGGCATATGAAGACATTCGCCGGGAGAACTCTGTTGGCACTTTCCACTGTTCCATGTAAGTAGGAAAGGTGTGGGCCAGCAGCTGCTTACCCGGATGCTTCTGGCGGGCTCTGGCAACAGCTCCTTCCACCCTTCACTTGCTTAACAGAGACCCTTCCTTGTGTTAGCCAACATCACTCCCACGTAAATGATGGTTTCTCGCATGCAGAAGGAGGTGCTTTCTGCTTTGGTGCTTCTTACCAACATCCTATGCTCTGAAATTTCTGAAGGTCTTTGGTACCAACAGGATAACCCTGTTGGACATGTTTTTTGATATTTTCCCAAAATGCAAGTGTTTTTTTAAAAGGTAGGCTCAAAATAGTCTACTCCCTATTCCTGTTCTCAGCGTGAGCGCTGGTCTGTTCATTTGGGCAGTTTCTCCCCATAGCATTTATGGTATAACATTACATCCTGAGGAGGGGTATCTGGTGCATTTAAAATAATCCATAGTTAGTAAGAGAGAAGAGTTGCCTCTTAGGAATTTAACCTCTTGAGATTTTCATTCTACCCAAATTCCATCACAAAACCATCTGGCTAGTTTATAACTCTGGCTCATAATTACTTAATAACTATATCTTTCCCTCCCTTCCTTCTTTCCTCTTCCTCCCTCCCTCTTTCCTTCTTCTTTCTCCCTCTCTCTCTCTTTTTTTTTTTTTTTTTTTTTTTGAGATGGAGTTTTGCTCTTGTTGCCCAGGCTGGAATGCAATGGCATAATCTCAGCTCACTGCAACCTCTGCCTCCTTGGTTCAAATGATTCTCCTGCCTCAGCCTCCCTAGTAGCTGGGACTATAGGCGTGTGCCACCACGCCCGGTTAATTTTCTGTATTTTTAGTAAAGACGAGGTTTCACCGTGTTAGCGAGGCTGCTCTCAAACTCCTGATCTTAGGTGATCTGCCCTCCTCGGCCTCCCAAAGTGCTGGGATTACAGGCATGAGCCACTGAGCCCGGCTCCCCTCTTTCTTTCCTTCTCTTTTCTTTTTCTTTTTTTCTCTTCCTTTCTTTCTTTTCTTTTTCTTTCTTTTCTTTCTGTTTTTGAGACAGAGTCTCTTGCTCTGTCACCCAGGCTGAAATGCAGTGGCACAATCATGGCTCATTGCAGCCTCAAATTCCTAGGCTCAAGAGAGCCTCCTACCTCAGCCTCCTGAGTAGCTGGGACTACAGGCATGCACCACCATGCTCAGCTAATTTTTTATTTTTTGTAGAGATGGAGTTTTGCCATATTGCCCAGGCTGGTCTCAAACTCCGAGGCTCAAGTGATCCTCCTGCCTTGACCTCCCCAAGTGTTAAGATTACAGGCGCAAACCACTGCACCTGGTTAGATTATTTCTCTTACCATGTTGCTCTAATTTCTCTATGTTTTAATTGATTGCCCCCAGGAACCTCTTTCTCTCCAACTAGTGAGCTCCGTCTGTTGAAAATTACAGAAACTAGGGCTAGGCGCAATGGCTCACACCTCTAATCCCAGCACTTTGGGAGCACAAGGTAGGAGGACCACTTGAGTCCAGGAGTTTGAGACCAGATGGGGAACATATCCAGACCCCATCTCTACAAAATGAAAATACAAAAAAAATTAGCCAGGCATGGTGGCACACTCCTGCAGTCTTAGCTACGTGGGAGGCTAGGGCAGCAGGATCACTTGAGCCTGGGACGTCAAGACCACTGTGAGTTTTGATCATGCCACAAAACTCCAGCCTGGGTGACGAGTGAGAATCTTCTAAAAAAAAAAAAAAATTTGGGGAAGCTGTCCTAGCGGGTCCCAGGTTCATATTCCAACTTTACCAAAAATTCCCTCTGTGAGTGACACAAGTTATTTCCCTTCTCAGCACTTCGGTTTTCCTCTGTATAATATGTGACTATTGGACTCTGATATTCACCTACGTTTGTAGCTTAAGGGTTTCAGAAATCCAGGATTCTGTGAGTACCTCTTCCCCCTTGTAAATCCTGTCCAGTGTAGTCAGTGTGCTCTGAATAAGATGCAGGGATAGAGTCTTTTAGCAAAGCAAAGAGGGAAAATCATGAGACAGGGAAAGTCAGAGAGAAGAGGCACTTGAGAAGGAAGTCAATCAGAGCAAGAATGCAAATGAAAATAAGAGGAGAAAAAGGGGACACAGACCACATATCAACAAGGGAAAGTATTCTCCCATATAGCTCTGTTTCTTCCCTACCAGCTCCAGACCCCTATTTTTAATTTTCATTTACTTTTATATATTCTATTTTTTCTTTTCTTTTCTTTTTTTAATTTTTAGCGACACAGTCTTGCCCTATTGCCCAGGCTGGAGTGCAGTGGCATGATTATGGCTCGCTGTAGCCTCAACTTCTGGATGCTCAATTGATCCTCTTGCCTCAGCCTCTTGAGTACTTGAGACCACAGGCATGCATTACCGTGCCCAGCTAATTTTTTTCATTTTTTATAGATACAGAATCTCGCTATATTGCCCAAGCTGGCCTCGAACTCCTAGGTTCAAGTGATCCTCTTGCCTCAGTTTTCCAATGTGTTGGGATTATAGGTGTGAGCTACCACGCCCAGCTACCAGACTCCCTATTTACATCCAATCTCTTTCCCAAACAGAACTTTATTCCCTTGCAGTCTTGTTGTTGTTGTTGAGACAGAGTCTCACTCCATCACCCAGGCTGGAGTGCAGTGGTGTGATCTTGGCTCACTGCAACCTCCGCCTCCTGGGTTCAAGCGATTCTCTTGCCTCAGCCTCCTGAGTAGTTCCTGAGTAGTGTGCCACCACACCTGGCTAATTTTTGTATTTTTAGTAGAGATGGGCTTTCACCATGTTGGCCAGGCTGGTCTCAAACTCCTGGCCTCAAGTGATCTGCTTGCCTCGGCCTCCTAAAGTGCTGGGATTACAGGTGTGAGCCACCACGCCCTTTATCTTATGAGATAATTGTAGATTCACCTACAGTCATAAGAAATAATAAACAGATCACATGTACCCTTTCTACAGTTATCCCATGGTAACATCTTCCAAAACTAATGTGTAATAGCACAGCCAGAATGTTAACATTGATACAGTCAACCAATCTGATTTAGACTCCCCCACTTGTCCTTCATTTGTGTGTATTTAGTTCTGTGCAGTTTTGTCACACGTGTAGGTTTTGTGTATCGGTCATCATAGTCAAGATATAAAGAGTTCCATCACCACAAGCCTCCCTCTCGTTACCCTTTAATAAACATATACCTCCTTCCCACCACCTCCCCATTCCTAACCCCTGCAGCCACTAATCTATTCTCCATTTCTATAATTTTGTCCTTTCCAAGTTGTTATATCAAATAACATTATATAAAACATGTAGGCTGGGCGCGGTGGCTCACGCCTGTAATCCCAGCACTTTGGCAGGCCGAGGTGGGCGGATCATCAGGTCAGGAGTTCGAGACCAGCCTGGCCAACATGGTGAAACCCCGTCTCTAGTAAAAATACAAATACAAAAATTAGCCTGGCATGGTGGCACGTTCCTATAATCCCAGCTACTCAGGAGGCTGAAGCAGGAGAGTTGCTTGAACTGGGACCAGGGAGGCAGAGGTTTCAGTAAGCTAAGGTTGCATCACTGCACTCCAGCCTGGGCTACAGAGCGAGACTCCGTCTCAAAAATAAAAAAAATTAGAAAAAGGATTTTCTCCTGCAACTGTGGCCTGGGCATGGCGACTTCAGGCTCTGTGACTCTGGAGGCCCCCTTTGAATCATCGAAGCCTCCCGTCATTGAGGGGTTTAGCCCACTGTTTACAGCAATCCAGAGGGTTTCAAGGAAAGGTTCCTTCGCAAGGCGCGCGAGAACACGGTGGTACCCATAGGTTGCCTGGGCACGGCGGCCGCCCTCACCAAAGGCCTCTACTGCTTCCACCAGGGCAACAGCCAGTGCTTACAGCTCAAGATGCATGCCTGGATCGCCGCCCAGGGCTTCACCGTCGCAGCCATCTTGCTGGGTCTAGCTGCCCCACTATGAAGTCTCGACCCTGAGCCCAGGGTCTTGAAACCTCTGCAGAAATCATTCCGAAATCCAGGAGCAACCAGTGGCCCTACCATGGGACTTACTCCCTCCTCTCCTTTGAGAGGTCCCTGTGTCATCGGGGGAGGAAGTGACCCTTTGTTTAACCGTAACTGAAAGATTTTTTCAAAAATCCCAGATTTTGTTGTTTGAATGTTACATACTTCTATTTGTGCCACATCTCCCCTCCGCTCCCCTGCTTAATAAACCCTAAAAAAAAAAAAAAAAAAAAGTAAAAAATTACATACATACTGTATGTAATCTTTTAGGATTGCTTTTATTAACTAGGCATATTTGTATGGGAAGGGGGATTTTTTTTTTCTTTTTTGAGATGGAGTCTCCCCCTGTCGCCCAGGCTGAAGTGCAATGGCAAAATGTAGGCTCACTGCAACCTCTGCCTCCCGGATTCAAGCAATTCTCCTGCCTCAGTCTCCCAAGAAGCTGGGATTACAGACACGCAGCATCACCCCCGGCTAATTTTTTGTATCTTTAGTAGAGATGGGGTTTCACCACGTTGGCCAGGCTGGTCTCGAACTCCTGACCTCATGATCCACCCACCTTGGCCTGCCAAAGTGCTGGGATTACAGGCATGAGCCACCGCGCCTGGCTAGGAAGGTTTTTAAGATACAGAAAAGTACAGAGCATGATATTGCAAACAAATATGTTCCTACCACAGAATCAACGCTGACTGTTGTTAATATTTTGTTATATTTGCTTCACTTTTTTTTTTAAAGAGAGACAAGTTCTCACTCTGTCACCCAGGCTGGAGTGCAGGTGCAGTGGCACTGTCATAGCTCACTGCAGCCTCGACCTCCTGGGCTCACATGATTTTCTTGCCTTAGCCTCCCTAGTAACTGGGACTAGAGGCACAGGCTACCATACCTGGCTAATTGTTTTAAAATTTTTGGAGAGATGGAGTCTTGCTCTGTGGCCCAGGCTGGTCTTGAATTCCTGGGCTCAAATGATCCTCCCACCTCAGCCTCCCAAAGCACTAGGTTTACAGGCATGAGATACTGTGCCTGGCTGTCTTTATTATTATTATTATTATATAAAAGAAAGAATGTATTATAAAGTGGGAATCCCTTCTAACCCTCGTCCTTGTATTAGTCATAAGCAGCTACTAGTATGAATATGGTCTCCCTTCCTTCCTTCCTTCCCTCTTTCTTTCTCTTCCTTCCTTCCTTCCCTCTTTCTTTCTCTTCCTTCCTTCCTTCCCTCCCTCCCTCTTTCTTTTCCTTCCTTCCTTCCTTCTTCTTTTTTTGACAGTTTTGTTCTTGTCCCCCAGGCTGGAGTGCAATGGCATGATCTCAGCTCACTGCAATCTCCACCTCCCAGGTTCAAGCTATTCTCCTGCCTCAGCCTCCCAAGTAGCTGGGATTACAGTCACCCACCACCATGCCCAGCTAATTTTTGTATTTTTAGTAGAGACAGGGTTTCACCATATTGACCAGACTGATCTCGAACTCCTGACCTCAGGTGATCCACCTGCCTCGGCCTCCCAAAGTGCTGGGATTACAGGCATGAGCCACTGCGTCCCGCCTGTCTGTGGTATATTATAATCTATACACTTTGATTTCTATTATTATTATTATTATTTTTTTTTTTTTTTTTTGAAATGGAGTTTACTTTTTTTGCCCAGCCTGGAGTGCAGTGGTATGATCTCGGCTCATCGCAACCTCTAAGTTATGATTTAGGCAATGTATGACTGAAAGAATTCATTCATCATGTACGACACATTAACATAAATAGGGCACAAAATATGCCTCTAACTGAAACCGAGAGGTATAAAAACATATTTCACTCTTCGTAAAGAACTTTGTGAGGAGACATAACTCTGTGATGGTATAGACACTTTTCCTCATAATACTTTGAGCTTCACAAACAGTAGATTGCACAGCAGCTTGTAAACATTTTAAGTTGCATAAACTTCCCCTTGATTTTCAAATGTAGTGTAATACTGTCTACTAAATCTCCTTTTTGTTTCAACTAAGTACTCTCATATATATTGGTTTTAATAATGGTTGTTATTGTTTTTACAATGTTTTCCATTCAAGGAAAATAAGTAAATTCCTATGTCAGAGTAATCAATAAAGAATAGGTATTAGCCAGAGAGGTCTAGATGGTAAAATCAATCTTCTAGCCTCAAAGAAGCTCCATGAACATAGAGGAATGCCAGGTGTCACACAGCTTTCCTTCACTCGAATTCATTCTTGACTAGAGCCTGTATGCCTGTTCCAGGGACATTTAAACTCTGAAAGGATTTCTTATGATCTTTACTAAATACAGTAAGAAGAATGCCAACCAGTGCCCTTTTGCATACTGGGACTTGTAGTCATGTGATTAAAACAGGTAATATGAACTCTGACTTTAAAGTATTGTGGATATAAAGGCTCTAAGCTAGAAAAGATTTTCCACATCCACAGTCAATGACGGGAGCCTTTCATTCCTCAGAAATAATCCCTTTTAGGTCACTGAGAAAGAGTCCAACTGCTGCAGCTCATGCTGCGATATCTTCAGGAGCCCAGAGCACGTACAAATCCTAAGGGAACTACCATAGTACCGCGCTCATTCCTGGCACCAGAACAAATGAATCACACTCTATCCCGCACACACCTGCCAGAGCAGGCCACTTTCCTCTTCTGTGAGATTTAAAAAGCTCCCCAAAATATTATTACTCCCATCCCCAATACACAGAAAATAGGGGGAAAGCTGTTTCCAGTTCTCGGCCTATAAACAACTCTAAATGTCAGTGCTCACAGGGGCATATTACAAAGTAAGAAACAGTGCGCATTTGAGGGCAAACCACATATTGAGCTAATGAAGAGCTCACTGTGATTAGGATTCAATCAAACATAATAGCAGAACATAAGCAAATTTTATCTGAATGCTGTAAAGAAGATACATGCTGCAATAACATTTAAAAAAAGCATGGCAGCCTATTCCAAACCAGCAAGAATAGTTTTGTACAAATAGGGGGTCTTTTTGTTTGAACTCCCACCACCCGATGGCAAACTTGATACGCATGCGAATAACTTACAATTATCAGATAAAAAAACAAAAATGCTAAAGGATGCCAGAGTGAACATCAGGGAAAGAGCCCTCTCCCTTAACTTTTTATAAATAAATTTAAACTCTAAATTAGAAACACAAATAAACATGAGGGGCTCTAACATTCAAATGAAGTAAATGAATTGCATAGGAGATTAACCACATTTCGTTGTTGTTGCTTTTAAATTTCTTGACCAGCTCTCAGATGATGACGATGTTGATCTCCCTGTTCTCCGCTGCCCGGTAAAAGAAAGGGACGCAGGGTTTGCTGGCCAAGCCTGGGTGCTCCTGGGTGTCCTGCATTACAGGAAGCAGCTGCACGATCTTCTCTGCGGTGGGGTTGCCACGGGGAGAACCCTCCCTGGCCTCTCCCGCTGCAGGCTCCACGCTGTCGGCCAGACTCACCTCACAAAGATCTTCGGAGAGAGGGAGGCGGGGGTCTGAGCACAGTGCAAGCCTCCCCTGTTCCTGCCTGCCCACCCCGCCTGAGGGCGCTACTCACCACCCTGCTCCTCCACAGCCCCAAGCTCCTGGGGGGCTGGGGCCCCTGGAGCGGGCTCATCAGCAGAGTTTTGTGCAGTGGGGAGGAATTTGTCATGCCCCTCGTGGTGGCCCATGAGCAGTAACACCGGCTCCTGCATTTCCAGCAGCTTCACCTGCAGGGAGGGGTGCTCAGCTGCCATGACTGAGCCGGCACCAGCGCCAATGCCCACCCCACCCCCATAGAGATATTGCATGCCCTCTACCTTCATCTCCTCCTCCTTCTGGGCCAGCCTGATGATGTCCTCTTGGTGCCGAGTGTTTGGTACTGCCCCATGGCTCTCATATATGGTGATGTACTCTCCTGGAAGAGGACAGGGCTCAGACACTGGGGCCCCTCTGACGGCCCCGCAGCTCCCCATGCCATGCCCTGGCCTCCTGCTTACTCATGCCCTCTCTTGCTCCAGAGAGCTGGATGAATCCAAGCTCTCGTTTTTCCACCTGCTCCTTCCCGTCTGCCTTCTCCTTCGGGAGGTCCATAAAGCTGCTCTGGAGACAAAATAATGGGGTCACATTCCGGGAGTGACCTGTCCTTCCCGCCCCCACTTTTCTTGGCCCATGCCAGGACTCGCTCACCTTCAGCTTCTCCATGGCCCCCTGCAGGGCCCGGTAGGTCTCCCCACATACAAACTCACCCCCAGTCCCTGGGGCCGGGGCCTCAGCCTCTGGCTCCTTCCAAGTCCAGGCCACCAGGTGAGCCAGGTGCAGGCAACACAGCCTTTGCACCTTCCGCTGCCCACATAGCCGTGCCTGCTCCTCCTGGGAACTGGCTCCAGTGGAGTTGAAAATGCCACATGAAGGCAAGAGCTGAGTATTCTTGTAGGGGCATACACAGAACAAATGGGGCAGGGAGGTGGAGCACAGTCCCTTCCCTGGGGTCTCAGAGAGTGCACCTGTTGGTCACAGGTGAAGTGGTGTCTGACTACTGCCTGGAAGGGGTGAGGGTCCAGAGAAATCAGAAGGCGGGGAAACCTAGAGCATAAGGGGGTCTGGGAGGGACCACAGAGGAAGGTGGCAAAGTGGGGCAGGGACAGTCAGACTCACCGTGGCCTCCTGGCTCTCCAGGTCCTTTGGGAAGCTTGGCATCAGCTGAGGCGCCTCCTCCTCCTCACCGTCCAGATGACCTCCTTCATCTCCTGTGGGGAGGTGGCCAGAGGGGTCCTCAGACAACCCAACTAGGGAGGTATTGCGGACCCACTTCTCCCCACCCTCACTGTGTAACCCTGAGCCAGCCCCTCCCCAGAGGGGAATGAGCTGCTGTTCTTTATTTTTCCTTTTAAGAACCAAGATCTTGCTATATTGTCCAGGCACAGTCCCACTACCGTTCAGTGTGGGAGTTCTGAACTGCTCCCTTTCTGATCTGGGCCAGTTCACTCATCCTTAGGCAACCCGGTGGCCCCCTGCTCCCAGTAGGTCACCATATTCATGCTGAGTTTATTGCAGACACCCGGTTGGCATAATGACCAGCTCTTCTAAAGGTCTCTTCCAACCCTTCCATCTTGTGCTGCTGACAGTCCCCCCTTCCTCCTGGGGCTGTCTCCTCTTCCCCTGAGTGGTCTCCTGTACCTTCTCCAGGGAGAGCCATGAGGCTCAACTGGGCCTCTAGG